GTCGGTGTGTAGTGCAATGCACAATTATGCTGCGAGATCTGGCAGTCAAGAAGACAGATGTAAAGGCCAATGACGGGAGGCATAACTCACGTTGAGTGTACTCGAGGGATTCCAGTCCGGGTGTGGTTGCGGTTGTCGTAATGGCTATACCGGCGATGTAATTACCATGTTGTGCATTCGAGTAAAATTGCGATACGCAAGTCACGGCACGGCCTGTGAGCCGCAGCTGTGTGTCTAATAATTCCCATCCGTCTGTTGGTTTAATATGATTGATATTTCTCCAGCCGCAGTATGAAGACGAAAAAGAGACCCTTGTGAGAAGACATGGGATCAAGTGGAACTCGTCTGCTGCCCCGCGGTGGGGAATTCACGATGAGATGGGGGGGGGGGGGGTGGTCAAAGCTTCTTCCCTTCCCGCTTTGACACTTTTCGATATCAATCTCGATTCTTGCTAGCCAAAAAGTTTAAAACGGCCACCATGCTATGAAAAATCTCCGGGTTGATCAGATTGCTCATGTAAGGGCAAATTAATTGGAGGTAGGTGTGTATCATTCTCCTCACAAAGCACTGATAGATATGGGACAGCAAATTTCAAGACAACGGAGTATGCCGCCCACCCTAGCCGGATAATAAGCAGTGGAAAGCCACTGGTTTTGGATGTTGAATGTGGCATCGTTACGCAACAACCACGCCGAACCCAAGCCTTTTCTCGTTGACGCCCTTGTACCATGCTGCCGATGACTCTCTCTGCTCGTAGTGTCTCAGCAGCACGACTTGCCCCGCGGGGGGGCTTCCAGCAGAACGGTGAACCAACGGGAACTAGCTCACGCATTGGTTCGTCTGCTCGCCTCTGTGTTCCTGAAGGGGCCTGCACGCACTTAAAGCTTCGGGTGGGACAGCATACACGACCATGTCAGGTACGCAGCGGTCCGCTAGGCCACGCACGAGGGTGGAAAGTCTAAGAGCAGTGGGCGGACCCGTTTTATCGGTTCAATGCGATCAACATCAGAGAGCCACAGCGACACAGACGATATACAGAGCCGGGAGGCAGCACGGTGGCCATTCCCCGAGCGAGGAGCTGGGTATGGGTCACCCAACATGGCCGCCTACCCACTCTCGGCCCCCGTGTCAAAATCGTTACCATGCAACCAGGCCACAGATTCCGGTCGCGGGGTAGAGTGGTCCAAACTGCACTACATTCTGCGCATGGCATTGCGATGCATGGCATTTCGAGCAGAGGGCACAGCAGATGCTTGACTGATAGCTCCATTGGGTAGAATTGGCGGTTTCAATAGGATGTAAGGCGTTCGTCTCTCCACCTAGGACCCGACTGTTCCGGGCAACCCCCCGTACCTATCTAGGCCGCTGCTTGTGGGTTTCATCGCCCTTGTGGTTGCGTGGTTGTGTGGCATGGCTGCAGGTGAAATTTGGCAGCCAGATGTCGTCGAGGGTTAGGTGTGGTGCCTGGGTAGTATTGTCAGCTCCTTCAAGAGAGGCATATGGGGGGTATCATTTCCTATCTCCGCGCGGCCACACAGCGCACACACACAACACCTACACAGTGGTGCCATTGATGACGGCAGCTGTGAT